TTTTTTTTTTTTTTTTTTTTTTTTGAGACAGAGCCTCACGCTGTTGCCCTGGGTAGAGTGCTGTTAGAGTGCATCACAGCTCACAGCAACCTCCCAACTCCTGGGTTTAAGTGATTCTCTTGCCTCCACCTCCCAAGTAGCTGGGACTACAGGCGCCCACTACAACGCCCGGCTATTTTTTGGTTGCAGCCGTCATTGTTGTTTGGTGGGCCCAGGCTGGATTCGAACCCGCCAGCTCAGGTGTATGTGGCTGGCGCCTTAGTCGCTTGAGCCACAGGCACCAAGCCAACAGTTTTATAAATTCACAGTTTGAATTAGGAAGCATGTTCATTATTGAAAAGTATTTTAGTATATTTGTTCATTATTGAAAAATATTTTAGTATATTTAGTATATTTTAGTATACTTGTTGAAAAATATTTTAGTACATTTGTTTAATGTTCATGGTCTTGATCTTGCTGAGCCAGGAATTTAAAAGTAGAATTGATTGGTAATTATTGGTAATCTTTTGAGACAGTCTCACTTCATTACCTAGGCTGGAGTGCTATGGCAGCAGTGGCCCAGGTATAGCTCACTGTGATCCTACTAATTCAACTCCTGGAGTCACTGGAATTTTAGGGATTAACCACTGCCCCTGGCTGATAACCATTCTGAATACAAGATAGGTAGACATTGAGATGGAACTCAACTGAGTGCTGAACCATGGCAGTGTGTTTATGTTAAAAACTTAATGAGTTATGCAAGGATGACACGCAAATTCATGAAATGTTCCTTATTTTTAAGAGTTCTGTAGTTAAAAAAAGAAGAAAGAAAGAAAAGAAACCTTAATGAGTTGAAGTAGAATTTACTAAGACAGGTGCCTTGGCTTCCAGAGATGAGCATAGTCCTAAGATGCAGCAAGAATTTGGGTTTCTTCGAAAAATTAAACTGTGGCAGAGCCTGTGGCTCCGTGGGTAGGGTGCCAGTTCCATATACCAAGGGTGGTGGGTTCAAACCTGCCCTGGCTAAACTGCAACCAAAAAATAGCTGGGCATAGTGGCAGGTGCCTGTGGTTCCAGCTGCTTGGGAGGCTGAGGCAAGAGAATTGCCTGAGTCCAGGAGTTGGAGGTTGCTG